TCTGGGCTCTCTCTCCGATAGATCTCCCTTCTCTCATAATGCAGATTCATGGTCGTAATCATATTTTTTTTTTTCAGAATGGTCTCGCGGGTTGCTTGGGGTGGGGAGAGGGGGGCGGGGTCGGTTGGAATCCGATGGGGAGGACGTCTTGTTTTCGCGGCGAGAAGGCGGTCGGAGGTTAGGAAGGGTTGGTGGGTTTTTGATGTTGAGAGTGTGATGAAGTGTTGTGATATGTGTCGAGTGTAGTGCGCTCGGCAAGGTTTGTCAGGCAAATTACACTCACAGGATCGAGAGTGGAGACAGAGGGACCATACACACGCATTAGGAAATGTTTCTAAAACACGTACGCACAATTACAGTCAACACACAAGCACACACACACACTCACTAAACAGAACACACACACCACACGCACACACATTAGAAGCGGACAATATAGACACCACACAACGCAACACACCGCACATTTACACACACACATTCATACAACACACACACGGACACAACACACACGCACACACACACACACCACACAATACACACGCACACAACACACAAAGCAGACACACACAACACATCACAAACAGACACACAACACAAACACACACATACACACACACAAAGCACAAACACACAAACACACTCACAAACAGACACACACACACACACACACAACCACATAGGCGCCCCCCCCCCACCCCGTTTACACATGAAATGATAATCAATCCTAACATTCCAGATCATTAAACCCTAATTTTCTTTAACTTTCACAAAAAAAAACATATTTCTCAGTCCCTTGCAGTTGTGAATGTAAAACTGTATAAGGATAAACATATCCATAATATGTCCTTGTGTAATATATATTGTCAATCATACGATTATTTTTAGTTTGATTAGTTTGAATAAATGAGTTAAAATTACTGTTGAATAAAATGAATTACTGTGAATAAAATTAGTTGAATTGATGTTTTACTGTTGAATAAATATGTTTAATTACTGTTTGAATAAAATGAAACTGTTGAAAAAAATGTTTAATTACTGTTGAATAAAATGAGTTTAATTACTGTTGAATAAAATGTTTAATTACTGTTGAATAAAATGTTTAATTACTGTTGAATAAAATGTTTACATTACTGTTGAATAAAATGTTTTAATTACTGTTGAATTAAAATGTTTAATTACTGTGAATAAAAATGTTAATTACTGTTGAATAAAATGTTTACATTACTGTTGAATAAAATGTTTAATTACTGTTGAAATAAAAGTTTAATTACTGCTTGAATAAAATTGTTTAATTACTGTTTGAATAAAATGTTGATTACTGTGAATAAAATGTTTAATTACTGTTGAATAAAATGGTTTATTACTTGTTGAATAAAATTTTGATTATGAATAAAATGTAATTACTGTTGAATAAAATGTTTAATTACTGTTGAATAAAATGTTTGATTTACTGTTTGAATAAAATGAGTTTGATTACTGTTGAATAAAATTTGATTTTTACTGGTTGAATAAAAATGATTACATGTTGAATAAATGTTAATTACTGTTGAATAAAATGTTTAATTACAAATGTTTTAATTGATATTGATTACTGTTGAATAAAAGATGTTGAATGAATAAAATTGTTTAATTTACTGTGAATAAAAATGATGTTATAATTTAATTGTTTGAATAAAATGAGATTGTTACTGTTGAATAAAATGAGTTATATCATTGTGAATAGAGTAATTACTGTTGAATAAAATTGTTTAATACTGTTGCAATAATATGTTTTAATTACTGTTGAATTAAAATGTAGTTTAATTATTGTTGAATTAAACATGAGATTGAGATTTACTGCAAGTTGAAACAAAAATTGAGATATAAGAGTTTAGATTGGAGATGAAAATGTGCAATGAGTACTTTAATTACTGAGAGTGATTGGAGGAATAAAAATTTAAGAGGTGTATAATATTAACGTGAGTGAAAGGAAGTGAGAAATGGATGGAGAATAAGAAAGTAATTAGAGCTAGTTGAGTTGAGATATAGGAAGAAAGAAGTAGTGAAGGACGATAGAGATGATTGATTTATTGTGAAGTAGAAGAGTGATTTATTGGTAAGTCGGAGTTATTGTGTGTGAGAGAAAGGAATGAGAAAGGCCTGAGAGAGAGTAAGATTGATGTAGAGAGAAATACTGTGATGAAATAAGATGGGTATGTAATATCTTGGTTGAATAAGAATGATAGGTAGTAGTAGAATTACTGGGTTTGAAGTGATAGAGATTATGTTGAGCGTAGGAGGGAGAGGAGATAAGAGAGAAGACCGGAGAGGAGAGAGGAGGTAAGAGAAGAAAAGAGACGTAGAAGTAAGAGTAAGAAGTGGAGAAGGAGATAAGAGAGAGAGAAGGGGCAGAGAACGACGAGAGGAGAAGAGAATTACTAATTGGGAAAATAAAAAGGCTTGTCATGTTTTGAGAGAGATTTGGAGGAGGAATAGGAAATACTTTAATATAGCTGTTTGGAGATGAGAAGATTTATTTGGCAATTTACTGGTTTGGGAGATAAAAAAGTTTATTATATTGGTGGGAGCTTGAGGGTTTAGAATTATACAAGTTTGTGACGGGCTTTCATTCTTTACGTGTGATGGTGGCGATTTAATTATCTTTTGGTGGATACAAATAGTGTTCTGCACGTAGCGAATATAACATTATATGCGTGAAGTTAATGTCTCATTTCATTGTCTATAAAACGATCTGTGAGGAATAATCAGGCGCCAGATTATATATAGTACTAATTTAATCATACAAAAATTGTTTCTTGTGTATGCATAATAGCCCGGGTATTTATACATTTTTTCTGCCGATTTTATTGCCGGGCATAGACTCCGGTGGATAAAGGAAAAGTAAATAAGTCGGAAGGAAACGTGGATTTACGATACTTGTTGTGATAAAGAAATTACTATTATTAGTAATTGCCAAAGATATGATAATGATTTTATTGTATTAGGCTTCGGGACAAAGCTCCAATCCAAGAAGTTTTAAACTTGGCTTGTTCTTGCCTCGCTCTCGGTGGTTCTTGCTTGTGTGTAGTGTCACTTATGAGATGATGGTGTTAATTGTGGGATGTCACCTTGTATCATTCGTTTGTCCTTACATGTTTGTTCTGGGTGGATTGAGTAGGATAATGATTGGATGGTAATGAGGTTTATTTAGTCTGCGAGGATATATTAGGTTATTTAGATATCAATAGGTTTCTTTTGTGCGGAAATAACAATGAGTAAACATGGTGTCTATAATTTAAACCTCAGATTGGATTAATAGAACTTTATTTTGAATAATCGCATGTAAGTTATCGATAATGAAGTTCCTATTGATTTTTTTGGAGATTATTGTAATATTCTTTTTCTTAAATCTTTTTTACACTGAATATAATCTGTCTCGTGTCTATTTTTCTTACGTCCTGTCTACGCAACCATAGGTACTTGAATATTATTGTTGATGACTATTTTGACTCTTCCGGGTTATGTCATGTCTGAGTTTGTGAGGTATATTTGAACTCCTAGTTTGTTACTATTGATCTATATTTGATAACATGTCTATACTCAGAATGGATAGTTTGTAATTTCGAATCAATTGAAAGACAGACGTTGTTTTCTGTCTGTCTTATGTCTGCCTGCTTTTGGTATGTTTTATCATTCTTTCTCTGTCTTAGCCTCTGTTCTATTTTTCCAATGATTTGCTACTTTAATATGTGATCCAGAGGTCAGGCCTGTAGAATTCTATTCTGTTTGGTGTACATTTAATATATGATCACACCTGGTTGATGAGAGGATTATTTCCCTCTTATCCTCTCCTCCCTGTTGTCTGTTCTGCCTGTCTGTCTTTCTGTTTCTAATCGAAACTTTGACGATTTTCTCTCTCTCTCCCTCATTCTCTCAGGGAGTCTCTCTCTCTCTCTTTCTCTCTCTCTGTCTTATCTGTCTCTCTCTCTCTCTCATCTCTCTCTCTCTTCTCTTCTCGGCTCTCTCTCTCTCTCTCTTCCTCTCTCTCTCTCTCTCTCTTCCTCTCTCTTCTCGTCTCTCTCTCTGTCTCTCATCTACTCTCTCTACTACTCTCTCTTTCTGCATCTGACTCTCTTTCTCTACTGCTTTCTCTCTACTCTCTCGTCTGCCCTCTACTTATACTCTCTTTCATTTCGCAATTTGCGAGTCTATATTACATATTTATGATATGATGNACACACACACATATATATATATATATATATATATATATATATATATATATATATATATATATAATTATATATATATATATACATATATATATATATATATCTTTCCCTCTCTCTCTGTCTATCTGTCTATCTATCTATCTATCTGTACAAAAAAAGTATATTCAAGTTAAAATTGTTCGGGTTGAATATCAAAGTTACCCAGAAAACGTTTCTTATGGAGAGTTAGACGTGTCAAAGAAAATGTAAAATTATGACAAACTTTTTTCTTTTACGTTTCAAAATTATTGAAATTCATTTTCCACACATTTAGAGTCGCTTGTCCAAGTTCATAATAATGATAATTATAAAAATGATGGTAATTATAATACTACTACTGTTAATAGTAACAATAGTGATGATAGTATTTATAATCATTTATGATAAAGATAGTAATGATGATAATGATTATAATAATAAAAAAAAATCCTATTAGCAACAATGAAAAAGATCATCACAATCTTTATTTCAGTTTCAACCATATATATAAAAGACTACATAGAAAGAAAGAAAAAAACAGCAACAAAAATCTTTATTTCAACTTTAGCCATATATATGAAATACAACAAAGATATAAACATCAACAACAACAAAAAAAACTTTATTTCAGCTTCAGCCATACATATAAAAGACAATAACGAAATAAAAAACAACAACAAAAACAAATCTTTATGTCAGCTTCAGCCATACATATATAGGACTACAAAGAAAAAACAAAAGAAAGAAAGAAAGAAAGAAAAAAAACCGTGACCTAATCTCTCCTTTTGCCTTCCAGTTCTTCGCCATCATCTTCGGCCTGATCTACCTCGACACCGGCGGCGAGGACCCAGAGTTCAACGTGATGGCCCAGAATGTCAGCGGGATGCTCTTCACCTTCACGACGAACCTCAGTTTCTCCAATTTGTTTCCTGTTGTTACGGTGAGAGGAAGGGAGAGGGAGAGAGTGAGAGGGGGGGAGGGGGGAGGGAGAGAGATAGAGAGGGGAAGGAAGGAGAGTTGGAGGGAGGGAGAGAGAGAGGGAAGGAGGAAGTAGAGAGGGAGTGAGAGAGAGAGAGTGAGAGGGAGGGAGTGAAGAAAGGGGAATGGGAGGGAGAGAAAGATAGGGAAGGAAGTAGCGAGAAAGGGAGGGAGAGAGAGGGAAAGAAAGATAGAGAGAGGGAGAGAAGAAGAGAAAGGAGAGAGAGAGGGAGAGAAGAAGAGAAAGGAGAGAGAGAGGGAGAGAAGAAGAGAAAGGAGAGAGAGAGGGAGGGAGGGAAGAATTGAGGAATTCTTCGAATGGCTGCATCAGTTGCCTCCGTCAAGGAAATTATATTGACGGACGTCGCCTGTGTACTTGAGAACGATTATTCTAATTAATGCAATTCTTGAAGTGTGATTATTTTATTGCTTTGGTGTCCCTTTACCCCTGGCAGAGGTAGGCGGCCTCAGAGTGCTTCTAGTTTTTTACTTAATATTATTATCTATAATGATGGATTTGTTAGTAATGGCAGTGATGATGAGGATAACATTGGTAAAGAATTAGTTCTAAATGTAGTGATGATAATGAAGCTATCAGGATGAAAACATTGTTTGTGATAATTTTGAGGATATCGAGAAGGATAATAAAAGTGATGATGGGTTTTTTGCCGATTATAAGAAATGTATTAATTATGATATTGATAATGATCGTAGTAGTAGTTGTTAAATTATAAAAGTATTAATGATGTTGATGATACTTATAACGACAATGCTAATGCCAATAAAAAATAACAAAATCAGATAGGATAGCGATGATAATAACAGCGAATTATTCCTACTAATAATGATTATGATAATAATAACCCTACGATATGATGATGAAATAACACTTATGAACATAACACCTTTTGAGATCATAACAACCGAAAACCCTACGATATTTGATAATGAAACAACACTTCAGTGACGACCATAACCCACCAATTCCACCCCTTCCTTCTGCAGGTGTTCTCTGGCCTGATGCCGCTCTTCCTGAGGGAACACTGGAACGGCCTCTATCGCACTGATATCTTCTTCCTGACGAGGTCCCTCCTGGAGCTTCCTGTCTTCCTGGTCGGGCCAGTTGGCTTCACGGCGATCATATATTATATGGTGGGACTTCGGTAAGTGTTCTTTGTGTGTAGGGAGGGAGGGATGTGAGGGGAGGAGGGAGGGAGGGAGGGTTGTGAGGGGAGGAGGAAGGGCGCGAGGGAGGGATGTGAGGGAGGGATGTGAGGGGAAGAAGGTAGGGAGGGAGGGAAGGAGGGAGGGATTGAGGGAGGAGGGAGGGGGGATGTGAGGGAGGGAGGGAGGAAGGGAAGGAGGGAGGAGAGTGGGAGGAGGGAAGGAGGAAGGGCGCGAGGGAGGGAGGGAGGGATGTGAGGGAAGAAGGTAGGTAGGGAGGGAAGGAGGGAGGGATGTGAGGGAAGGAGGGAGGGAGGAAGGGAAGGAGGGAGGGAGGGATGTGAGGGAGGGAGGGATGTGAGGAGGGAGGAAGGAAGAGGGAGGGAGGATGAGGGAAGGAGGAAGGGCGCGAGGGAGGGATGGGAGGAGAGGAGGGAAGAGGGACAGAGGGATGGGAGAGAGGGGAAAATGGGTGTGAGGGAGGGATGTGAGAGAAGGACGGAGGAGGGAAGGAGAGAAAGAGGGGTGTGAGGGAAGGACGGAGAGAGTAGGGAGGGAGGGAGGAATAGGAGGAGAGGAAGAAGAGGGACAGAGGGATGGAGGTGAGGGATGGTGGGGCGAAGGGAAGGAGGAATAGATGGAGGGAGGAAGGGAAGGCTGGAGAGATGGTAGGAGGAGAGGGGAGAGGGGGGGGGAATGGTGAGGGAAAGAAAGGGGAAGGTAAAGAAAAAGTAAGGAGAGTAAGGGTAGAGAATGAGATGAAGAAAAAAAAGGCGGAGAGGAGGGAAAGAGAGAGAAAGAAAGTGAAAAAAGTGAGTGATGGAAACAGATGTAAGGAAGGGAGTTTAAAGAGAAGATGCAGATGAAGGGAAGGACAGAAGAAAGGGAGAGAGGAAGAGAGAGAAGATGGAAGAGAGAAAGGAATAAAGATACAGCGAAACTTGGGGCCTCAAAGGGAAATTTGATTAGGAAATTTATTGTTCATTTTGGACCTCGCTCCCTCCACTATAAACCTTTTCTCACAAATTCTGGAGAGGAAGGAAAGGTAGAAGTAGAGGAAGAGGGGAAAGAAGAAGGGGGAGAGAAGAAAAAAGGAGAGGGAGATAGAGAATGAGAGAGAGGTGGAGAGGAAGAGGGGAAGAGAGGAGAAGGAGGATGAGAGGGAGAGGCAGCAGAGAGTGAGTCTGTGTATGTCTCTCTCTGTATCTGTCTATATGTCTATCTGTGTATCCTAGAAAAAATGTGTCTCTAGCCAAATCATAATCTGATTATCGCCTTAGCTTTACCTTACACTGTGCTTCCCTTCGCAGGCCCGGAGTGCAGTACTTTTTCACTGCTATGGGTATTCTGACTCTGGTGGCTAATGTAGCAGTGTCTTATGGTAAGTATAGGACTTATTCAGTGTCTGATCTGTATGTTCTTGTCTGTCTGTCTCCCTTGGTTGCTCTCACTGGCTCCTGATTGGCTGTTTGTAATAAATAGTGTGTGTTTGTGTTTCTATGTCTGTATGAGTGTCTGTGTCTGTATCTGTGTGTGTTTATGTCTGTATGAGTGTCTGTGTCTGTATCTGTGTGTGCTTATGTCTGTATGAGTGTCTGTGTTCTGTATCTGTGTGTGTTTATGTCTGTATGAGTGTCTGTGTCTGTATCTGTGTGTGTTTATGTCTGTATGAGAGTGTTGTGTCTGTATCTGTGTGTATTTATGTCTGTATGAGTGAGTGTGTTCTGTATCTGTGTGTGTTTATGTCTGTATGAGTGTTTGTGTCTGTATCTGTGTGTGCTTATGTCTGTATGAGTGTCTGTGTCTGTATCTGTGTGCTTTTGTCTGTATGAGTGTCTGTATCTGCGTGTATGTCTATGTCTGTATAAGTGTCTGTGTCTGTATCTGTGTGTGCTTATATCTGTATGAGTGTGTGTATCTGTTCTGCTGTGTTTATGTCTGTATGAGTGTCTGTGTCTGTATCTGTGTGTGTTTATGTCTGTATGAGTGTTTGTGTCTGTATCTGTGTGTGTTTATGTCTGTATGAGTGTCTTGTCTGTATCTGTGTGTGTTTATGTCTGTATGAGTGTGTGTGTCTGTATCTGTGTGTGATTTATGTCTTGTATGAGTGTGTGTGTCTGTATCTGTGTGTGTTTATGTCTGTATGAGTGTCTGTGTCTGTATCTGTGTGTGCTTATGTCTGTATGAGTGTCTGTGTCTGTATCTGTGTGCTTTTGTCTGTATGAGTGTCTGTATCTGCGTGTATGTCTATGTCTGTATGAGTGTCTGTGTCTGTATCTGTGTGTGCTTATGTCTGTATGAGTGTCTGTGTCTGTATCTGCGTGTGTGTCTATGTCTGTATGAACGTCTGTCTGTGTCTGTATTTATGTTTAAATGTTGATACATTATAGTAAACCTAATCTCAATCTATCTATCATCCTATCAATTGCTCAGTCATTTCTCTCGCCTTCGACCTATAACCGCCTGCAAAGTCATCCTCCTTCCGTCTCGTCTCCACAGGCTACATGATCTCGTGTCTGGCCAAGAACTACCAGACGGCGCTGGTGCTCTCCACGCCCCTACGCTGCCCATTATTTGCTCTTCGGAGGCTTCTTCGTGCAGTCGGAGTGAGTAAGAGGCGGGGTTGGGCAGGCACAAGCACATGCATGGTTATATGTACATGTGCAAATACTCGTATGGATGTACACTTACACACTTATTTACATAAACACACACACGCACACGCACGCACGCACGCACGCACGCATGCACGCACGCACACGCACACGCACACGCACACGCACACGCACACACACACACACACACACACACCACACACACACACACACACACACACACGCACACCGCACACGCTCACACGCACCGCACACGCACACGCACCACACACACACACACACACAACACACACCACAC